GTGACTTTCAGAAAGCCTCGAGGGACGGACTCGGTAACCGCTTCTGAATTGATACCAGGCTCTTGTCGGTCAAAATCAAATGTCCCGACCCCGGGGTCGCTTCGCACGATCAAAAGCCCGACAGGGGAATAGTCTCGGGCATCAAATCCCTGCCCCTTGCCCACGCTACCCCCCACGGGATTTACATTGATAGGTGCATTATTTAAACTGTCATGTACTGTCCAAATTCTGGGCAAAATCAGAGCCCATCACTCTAGAATATCCATCTCAAGGATAGTTGTGATTGAAAGAGTATGAAAAAGAGAAGTAAAGTTCATTGCATATAGAACGTTTTCTTTTTCATTAGTCTAGTTCCGTTGTGAAATGAAGCTGTCTACTAGCACTGAAAGTATATGAATCAATCACAAATAGGTACACTCTTACAAATTTAGGTGAATTGTTATTTAATATGTATTATTTTGACAGCATTCATGAAAGATAGCATTATTAATCAGTAGCCAAATTTTATCTCAAAATATGTGTCTGAAATGTCTTAAACTTTACTGCCCATATTTTTTATAAAATTAATTTTTTATCTGCTTGTACATAGCATAATTATACAGTGAAAAGAGGGTCTAATATAAAATTGTCTAGTCTATTTTTCATTCTTCAAAATGCCCTAATTGTACAGTGTAAAAATCATGCATTATTCTTCTAATAATACTCCTGCAAGTAGTTCCTTTTCAAAATGATTCGAGAGCATTACTAAGCATTCATATACATGTACACATTTTGTATATTCAGTGGCATATTCAGATCGCTAAGTAAGTGGGGGCAGGTAGCTTGGTTTAATGCTTATGCCTTATTTAACAATTACCTGTTTCAATATGATCGTTATCAGTTCACTTTCTTGTCCCATGTATAGGGAATCTAAGACAGTCTTGGATTCTGGATCCCATGCTGTGGATTCCAGAATACAGTACTGGATTCCAGTCGTTAAGTGAGATTCTGGGTTCCTTAAGCTGTATTCCGGATTCCAAAGCCCAGGATTCTGGATTCCACAAGCAAAAGTTTTCCCCGTTTCCAGATTCCCTTACATGGAGTGTACTTTCAGTTTTCTCTTGACAGCAAGTGAAAGTCATTTGCCATTCTGAGTTAATAATATTAATAGGTCTGAAAATTTTCAGCTGAAATTTTGAAAGGAAATGGATTATTTTTCGAACATTTCGATTCTGGCATTTCCTTTTCCGAAACTTTGATAATCTGAGATGGGATAGTTCGTAAAGCCAAATAGTTATCCACTAATTGTTTAATTACAAATTGACAATAACAATGCATGACAAAGCACTTTTTCCACTTTTAGAGATAAAGATTAAGTAAAAATCGTAGGTTGTAACCGTTGTTATTATTATAGCTCTTTGGTCGTATATGACCATACATAATCTAGTTAGAAACCAGGAAATCAACACTGGTAGAATTAAGTATTAAAAAAAACTTCCATGATGTAATGCTCTCAAATTGAGACGATGCGATCCGAACCCTCCCTTTCCATTCACAGAGCCAAGGACTGACTTGCTTCTGTAAATAAGGCTTTACCTAATAAGTTTACGTGACCTACACATCCTTGGCACAAAACGAGCTCTGTCCAATGGAAAATCATGGTACATACTTGGGCTTCACGCCATCTTTCTTGTTCGAGGTTATAAATGCCCTTTCGGACATAATTCACTAATTGCTTGTCAGTAACAATAAGTATACTTGGGAAAACCTTTTGACATACGAGGCATAGTGATGTTGTTTTTCGTGATCTATTTTCCTATTCTCTAGGTGACAACATAGGACAAAGCCCAAGTATGTACCATGATTTTCCGTTGGACAGAGCCTGTTTTGTGCCAAGGATGTGTAGGTCACGTAAACTTATAAATAGGTAAAGCCTTATTTACAGAAGCAAGTCAGTCCTTTACATAGGACTGATAATTTCTAATCATGCATGATCGGCTTCATTGCTGGGGAGTGGGGAGCGGGAAGGGACATGTGATCTTTCCTTTTAATGAGAAACCCCCCTGCCCCTGTGGTTGATTTGGTATGTGTTAGTTGAGCCTATCCATGTCGTCGAAGTTCAGAGGATAGCAGCAAGAAACAACTTCTTGTTAGAATCTTAAAAGTGAATACCCAGGTTAGGTTGCTGTGGACTATTATGTCTTTTGTTAATTATTAGGCTGCCTATGGCCCACCCAAACTAAAAAAAAAAACTACAAATGAGGTGTCTCGTTGGTGCGGCAAAAAGACAAAATGAAGGACAGATCACGGGAAGGGGAAAAACTTTGGGTGAAACGACGTCTCCCTTGCTTTCCCTATCCCTCCGTCCTTTGCCTGGGTATGAGGCAGAAGATCACACGGAGAAATTACATGCTAATTTTTTGGGTTAATGAGGGTACAGCATTGGGTTCAGCCCGGTGGCATGTACCGACACATCTCACTGCCCTTTATTCTTGACGCCTTCCAGTTAAATTATATCCATTGACAACACTGACCAATAGACATACAATAAGAAACATACCACACCAGACTTATTCAACTTTAACTTTAATGTTACATCATCGAGGTAATGTACAAAATAAATAATAAGTGCGTCTGGTTATGAACATAAATGCATTTTCTCTGGAAACATATTTAAACCTTATAGCTTGTACTCTTTTCGATTAAGGTTATTCAGTCAGCTTATAAAACTATGCCTACCTAGAAAAACGTTGGACAAGGTTAATAAAAACACTCCCAGCCCAGCATTGGAGGAGGGAAAGTTTTTGTATGGAGGAAAGTGTTAAGGTAAAAAGAGTGAAAAACACTAATAATTCACCCATGACTTCACTTGATTTGAAGCAGTATTTGTTGTCACTTGAAATCTTTCTCTTCAAAGCTAGCTACTGGTTATAGAGTTGACAGTTGTGACCTTTTAGAGTTTTTATTTCGTGGTGAAATATCTATTTAGTTTCCTTTTACTGAATTAACTTACTTTATTATCGTTGAGAATGGATATGTCATATAAAATTTACTGCCTCTGGCGCACAATTTGTCTAATCTTAAACGCTGATTTTATTTTGTCCTAACAATAGTATATTCTACAAATTCTACTTATTTTTTTATTCGGTTCTGGTCATAAAACTTATCGTATTGTACTGAAAGACAAACTCAAACCTGGAATGCTTATAACATAAAGCAAGCTACAGAAGCATCAAGAGCGTAATAGTGGTATGGATAAATGGATGAACATTGATGTTACAAATGAGGCAAGAAAACATGGTAACTGTAGACAGACAAAATCGAATACCCACCGAGCATAACAAAAAGGTACACAAATTAAGGTAACATACCGACTAAAACTCGCCCCGTGTAAAGGAATCCAAGACAGCCTTGGATTTCGGATTCTATGCCGTGGAACCATAATTTAAAAACTGGATTCCAGTCTTTGTCAGAAGAACTTGGATTCTGGATTCCCATTATAGTGGGATTCCAGATTCCTTGGGCTGTATTCCGGATTCCACAAACAACATTTTCCTGGAGCGGATTTCACAAGCAAAAGGTTCCTGGATTTCCAGATTCAAACACTCTTTGAGTTCAAGCTTGAAACAGTGATTTAACAAAATTAATTTAAAAGCGGTACATTCATTGGCATTATTGATTTTACGATGACAAGGCTCCTTTAACGCTCTCTCCACTTACACTGTAGAATGAGTAATTCATTTCGTTCCATGGTCAGATCATTACACTTAATATTATCAGATTGTTCCACAATGCAGTCAGAACTTTTCAAGAGTCTTAAAGCCACGAGCAGAAACAAGGGCGTTACTGTGTATCCCTCGTTCTTTAAGCCAAGAGGCCAAAAAAAGTGCGCTTCACATCGAGATTTACATTGAAACTGTGGAACGATCTGACTATAAAATGGAACGATCTGGCTTGAAACAATCTGACCATGGAATGAAGTGACCGTAAACAATAAAGCACAGTCCACAACAAAAACATACGATGGATGGTAAGCCTGTGGTCTAAGTACTGGCAGGTTGAATGTAATCCAACAGGGGACTGTGTGACGATGAACTAAGCGACGACGCAGAGGAAGGCTGTTCCATGGATGATGAGCCAGGGGTCAGGGCATTGGAACTTGCAACACGTTCAACTATCATAGCATGGAGATCATGGATTGCTTCAATGTGCTGAAATGTAAAGGATTATATTAGCAATAACCACAAAAACGTACAAAAGATACCCTAACATTTTGAAAACAAGATCCACAGCTTAAACGTTCCAAACGACAATATTTTTAAGGGGCTAATATTCACAAGGAACTTCCCTACGATGGAGCTTGTGTAATGTTGGAAAAAATTAATGTGCTTTAAAGTCAGCTGGGCTTTTACCCTCCGAGGGAAATTTGTGTTGGCAATTTTCTGATTCGCAAATAATAATAACGTTATTGAGTACTGACTGGGGCATTAATTAGAATTTGAGAAAACGTAGCCATCTGAATAATATCCCAACTTCAACACAACTGCAATAAACCTTGTACCGTAACTCAAATACCAGTTACTCAGGGTGCAAAGAAAATCATTTTTACAGCTTGCCATTTGGGAAAGCTGAAGCTAGCATTTACTAGCCCAGACGTCATTTCAACTAGCCCCAAAAACTTTTTGTTCTTCCGTTATTTAAATTCCTCATAAAACATCACTTGCCGGTCGGGCAAGTTAAAAACAGAACTCACTAGCCCGATAGCAAAATCCACTAGCCCTGGGCTATTGGACAGTACTTTCTTTGCACGCTGGTTACTGTTCACATGGTTTTTAACAGACCATGTCAAAGTTTACAGAGTAGTTCATAATTATGGAATCGAATCAGAAAATTCTAGTGCTTAAAAAATGTTGTCACTGGAAAATGCAGCCAAGTTTGTAAATCAAATGAATTTAAAATGAAGAATTGACAATCATCCTGGGTCACCAAAAGGACTGATAGCATACAACTACATACCTCACTAGAAGGCTGTGCCAAGGTCAAAACATGCACCACTTTCTGAGGGTCCATTTTAGGAAGGACATACCACAAGAGGCGAAGGGTGTGTCGCAAAATATTTGAGTCTGATACCAGAAGAAGCAGAAACTGATCAAACACAACATCACAGAAGTCAGCACGGGAAAACTCTTCAGACGAAGCAGCCAGTGAGCTGACCAGAGTGTGAAGAGACACCTCATCTAACATGCGCTCCTGACAGGTGCCAACAAACCAAGGCAAGATGGTCAGCAGCATTTGTCTGTTGGCAAAAAGGAGGCAAGATATGTTTTGACAGCCACCTTTGTACCACCTCACCAGCAAACGCGTTCTTTAGAAAAATTCTACAGGAATTGATTACATCTTTGTTGAGCATGCCCTGAATGTTGCTAGGATACAGTTTCAAACCCAGGCCTAAAAGCAGTGTGCTTGGTACAGTCAGCTCAATTATGATGATTGGTTTATCAATAAACTGATGCCTGCACTCAAAAAACCAGTTTGACGAGAGAAAACAGGATTGACTAGTCCAGAAGTAGTCCACAATCATGAACTTGTAAACATTCTGAAACCATTTTATTAAAACTTTTTACATGCACGTCCATTCAATTATTCTTGTTAAAACATTGTAACCTGCAGTCACTCTCTACAATAAGGCAGAAAGGAAAGTTGCAAGAAGAATCTAGGAGAAAAATTTACCTTCCAAACTGGTACTCCAGTTACCCACAGAATTATAAACACAATAATTTACCCTTGTTTTTCATTTACCATTTTCCTGCCAACAGCCTTGTAGCTCCATTATTAACATATAAACTACAGACAAGCCATAATAACTTTATTTGCTCTGAAGAAAGGCGAGGACTCAAACGTCAGCTTTTCAATATTAACTTTTTAAATTGACTTTATCAACCCAATTAACAGAAAACTATTGCATTCAAATTCCGAGCTGAGTGTTGACATCTTACTATTAATGTAAATACATGCATAACAGTAATAATGTGTAGAGAATGCCACAGAAGTGATTAAGCAGTTAATCAACAGGTGACATTGCCGGCACCCATTGCTGAGGACGGGATTCCATCAGGGGTGTAATAATATTATTGTTACAGTTTCTCCAGAGATTTTCAAAGAGAATAAAATAATTCTTCCTGACCACAACTGATAGTAAAATAGTACCTGTCTTTTTGCTTGATAACATGAAGAAGATAGCACCAAGCCAGTGTGAATGCTACTGAATTTGATGAAGTAATTTCTACAAAGTACGCAGTGAATTGTGAAGGGCCCTCTATGCCACCATTCTTGTCCTCATCATTGAGTTTATCATGAAGAGAGTTAAGACCACTATCCACCATCAGTGACATAATCAGTGGCAAGAACTTATGAACCAATTCACCACCCTATTAAGGTTAAAATCAAAAAGTTAAGTAAAGTATTAGTTTTTCAAACAGCTGAGGATAAAATTCATAGGGTAAAGCAAACTGTCTAGCCTAAGGCCTGTAAATCTCTCTATCTCTTTTTAGGAAATCCCTGAACAAGTCAGACATCACGCACACTGTTCCACAATTGTTAACATTTCACAGGACACAGGCAAATTACCATTGGCCATGAATGATTTTCTTTTATATCACACTCCTCTTAGCAGATCAAAGCATCACAATGTTAATAAGGTGAATGACAAACTGCATAGATGACCAAGTGACATTTAATCTTCTTCATAATATACATACACAGCATGCAAAGAAAGTAGTGTCTGATAGCCAGGGGCTAGTGGATTTTGCTATCGGGTTAGTGAATTCTGTTTTTAACTTGCCCAACGGGCAAGTGATGTTTTTTGAGGAAATTAAATAACAGAAGAACTGTGAAATCAATTCTGCTCGTCAAAAAGCTTTTGGAGCTAGTTGAAATGAAAAAGTGGTTGGCAAAATGAGCATATAAAATTAAAGGTGTAAATTTATTACTCTTTAATTCTAGGTTTCTTTGTTGCCCGCAAAAATTCATGTTAATGCACTTTTTGAGAAATTTGCATGAAAATAACTTACACAAGTAACAAGGGAGCCGTATGAACATAGTTAATACTGATATAACTTACCAGTGCCACCTCAGTAAAGTGTTGATTACTAATCATTTCCCATGCACTAACTCCCAGGTTCAACACCCGCAAAAGGAAACTGACATCTGAAGAAGTCTGCAATTTCCAAAACAAAATGGACTGTATTAAGTTTATCTTTATCATATATCATCAAGGATTTGACTCTTGTGAAGGAGTTAGATTTTCAATTATTTCTTGAAAGGAAAGTCACTGTGGTAGAACTTCTGACACTCAGAGTTATTATCAAACCAGAAAGAAAACTCACCCTTGGCAGTAACTCTGTGTTGACAAGTCGCTGTAGTTGCTTAATTACACTTTTGGAAACAGTGTTGATAGCAAATGGGTCACACAAAATCATTGCAATATCCCTGGTAAATAGAGAAAAAGAAAAAAAACAACAATAATGATACTTACAACATCCACAAAACAATATTAACCCATTCACTCCTACCATGTAGTACTGGACAAAGTCTAAATTCCGTTTTCTGTTTTAATATCCATAAACTGCCATGGATTTATTTCTGAACATTTTGAAATATTCATGAGCTCTTCAAGGACGGTGTGATGAAGAATACAGAATACTGGTCACCAATTTGGTGACTAATTACCTGGATTGACCTCTAGTGATAGGAATTCAGGGGCAATGGTGCCTGTATTAGGCACAATTTCATGCCTTGGAGTGGCGCAGATGGTATAATCACTTACCATGACAGGGCTGTCATTATGATTGCGCTTTGAAGCATCGGTTCACCCGTAACATTTCACAAAAGATTTACAGTATAGTATCACCTTAAGCTTTCCACTTTGATCACCCATAACATCAAGTGAGCACAGCTGTAACATGGTTATGGGTTATGGCCCTTAATGACAGCTCTGCATGAAATCCTGTCATACAATGTACACCCTGCCCAATATCTTCTCTAGCCTGAACAAAAATCCAGTCATTTCTTTATTTTTCAAGCATTCTTTTGAATATGGCTAACCCATCATTAAGACCAATATTAAACCACCATAATATGACCAGTGAAATACCTACTGATACCCGTGGGTAAGTAAGAGGTATTCATCTGGTAAATTGTGAAGCTTCTATCAAAAGTCAATGACATTTTTCACCTAGTGTGATGCCGGTCACATTCTTAGTGTTTCACTTAACTCCAACAGCCTTACCCAAGGACTTGTTCTTCACTGTGCTTGGCCTGATCTAAAAATCCCTGCAACTCTTTTGTCCTTTTCCCTTCAATCACTTTTTCCCTGATGCAAGCATCCAAACACCATGTGAATTTGTGACATGGGTCAATATCCTTTATGTCTTTAATTTCAAGGTCGTGGACAGCCATTAGAAGCTCTGATCTAAGAGTACAATAATGAACTTCCTTGGTTCGTAGAAAAAGTGTTCTAAGAAACTGCAGAACAAGATTGTACAGTTCCAAAGACTTTCCAATCATTTTGGCTAAGTTCTGAACAACTGTATTTTGCCTCCTTGTTTTAGACGGCATTGAAAAGAATGTGTGAGAGTTTAATGGTTCTGTGGAGAAAATGACACTGTATTTCGCTTCAACATATTGATTCAAAAGGGGTCCAACGGCATCACCAAACAACGCGTGATGTTTTACCCAGATCTGTCTTTTAACCTCAATAGAACAACCCTCGTACAACTGTGGGTCATTTGCAAGTTGCTCAAGACATTCTTCAGGAACTTTAGGAAGGTATTTCATCACCTCCATCACAACTGGACGAAGATGCTGCACATGGATGAACGGAAAACACTGATCAAGCAGACTCTGGAGCTTTTCAACCTCCAAAGCTTTTACTTGCTCCAGCAGTTTGTCTCGTAAATTTTCCATAACAAAACTATTGAATTCCACTCTACGAACATCGTGAAGGTCCAAAAAAGGTAGAGCAGGCTGTAAAGAGGGCAACATAATGCTATTTTCCTGTTGAAAGTTTTCTATGAAGTTGACAACTTCGAAGTCTTGAGCGCCTCTAAGTCCATTCAAGATAGAGTCCGTTCCGGGAAGCCCCGCCTGGTCAAAACCAGCCATATTGCTCTGAGATGTGTCTTGTTCAAACTGCGGTGGTAAATCAACGGTTTCTTGGCAAGTTACCTCAATAAATTAGTGATTTTTGCAGGACAAATTTTTCGCCATTTTGGCGGACATCGGCCGAAGCCGAATGCGCATGACCTTTGTGCTAACCGCAAGGAATGCAGGGACTTTTATAGCAGCCATGTTTTTTTGCTCCCATAGTTCTTTGCAGTCTACAAGTACCATGGCGGATGAAGTTGACCTTCGAGAGAAAATACAGAAATACGAGGAATTTGTGAATGACAAGTTAAGAACAGATCTTGAAACTGTAAGGAAAAATCAAGAGGAGGTGAATTCAAGGATCAGTGAATATTTACAACTGAAGAGTGTAATAGAAAACATTAAAAGTTCTGAAGAATCCCGGTCAGGGAGAGAATTAAAGACTCAAGTGGACCTTGGATGCAACTTCTACTGCCAGGCGCGCATAGCAGACCCATCAAAGATATTAGTGTTAGTGGGCTATGGATTCTATGTGGAGTTCACATTGGAAGAAGCGCTTCGTTTTATAGAGAAAAAGTGCGATCAATTAACTATGCATAGTCAAAAATTGGGACAAGACTCTGCTAGGATCAAGGCAAATATTAAACTTGTTCTGGAAGGGCTTAGAGAATTACAGGGCCTTCGTCCAGTAGAAAAAGAACCTAGGCCTATTTGGTGAAGGAAGTTTGGGAGCAATTACTACAGAATGCAGGGCCAAATCGTAAGGACTTTCATGGAAGTGGCTTGGTGGCTCCCTAGTAAAGACCAATGTTTAAAGAACGAGAAAGATAAATATTAAACGTTATAAAGTGTTAGATAGAAATTAAGGTATATAGGTAAAAGGGATGGTATACATTTTAGTAGGTTGGTGGCTTGGTGGTTCGTCATTGGAGACTAGAGTCTTGAAGAGTGAAAAAGGTATATATTTTAGTGGCCCAGTGGCTCAGCAGTCTCGACTAAAGAGCCACAGAGCCACTTGAATGATAAGGTCCTTTTATTTCACTGATGAGCTACCGAGCTACTCGAAAGAATAATTCCAAAAAAAATGCTCTCTATTTTGTATTTATGCCAAAGATTGCAGGAAGATCATCATGTCACTACAGTTGAACTTCTCTACAATGGCCACCTTGGGGACAGAACAAAGTGGTCATTGTAGAGAGGTGGCCGTTGAAGAGAGGTTGAAACAAGAGTGAATGTATGGACTGTTGGCCAAAAAAATTGGCTGTTGTAGAGAGGTGGCCGTTGTGGAGGGGTGGCTGTTAGTGAAGGTTCGACTGTATTAAGGACTGCACAGGTCAAAACTTCAAGGTGACCAGTTGGTGTGGTGTGGAGGAAAGAATCAAAATAAAATCTATGGGGAACTCATGGGTGCCTTGTTTGATAAAAAGTCAAGCAATAAAATAAAATATTTGTTTCAAGTTGAAATGATATATCCAAGAAAAATTCTTGGTGCCTTGCATGTACCTGTCATGACACGCTTTGCTTATTCACAAGTTCATGTTCTCAAAATAGCCACTCCAGAGTTCGAGATCAGCTACTGTAATCTAACTACATTATTTTTTAGTTACTATTTTTATTATTACACTAAAAATGCTGACTGTTTTTTGGCCTTTATTCTTCCTTCTTACCCTCGCCCCCGCTCTTATCTTTGACCTCTGTTCAGCTTTCATGTAACCTGAGATCACGCTCTATTTTCATTTTGCTTGGTAAATGTAATTCCAACATGCGACACTTAAGGGCAACTGCCAAAAGTAACCGTTACTTTTGGCAGTTGCCTCATGATTGCCTCGTAAGAGGCACGAAACTCTGATTAGCAATAAGTGTTCAAGATTTAATCCAGTTCCATCGGTCTATATGTATTCTGCTCTAGTTCAACTATTGAGCACTCTTATAGTCGATGAGGACGTCACTCTGGTACTTCATTACAAATTATCGTTGATATTACCTGATAAGTGTGGTCATCTTTTGGCCATGCGAAACAGAGCTAGTAATAAAACGACGCACTTCCTCTGAAGTCTTGAACCAGTTTATTATATTTATATACGTCTCTCTATATATATTTATTAAAAACTGAATCATTGGATGATGCAATTCTCGTGCTCTGATTAGCTTAGCTCTCCAAATATGGTAGCACCGTGCTGCTCCCTGCAGGCTATCCTAAACAAGGTCCAATGTCCTTTGTCCTAATCAAGGTAATAAAATTGAGGGTGTTGTCCTTAACAGGGTATGTATTTTGGGACTTTTTTTTCCTAAACAGGGTCAGAGTCTCAAATCCTCAGTGGCTCACCAATACCCAAATATTGATCGAGCACCCCACACCCCCCTCCAGGGGACTTTTTTCTTTGGCAGAACAGCGAAGCATCTAGACTTAATACAAGTCGACCTCTTGGACTGGAGATTAAAACCTCTGATTTTGTGGATGTGAAAAAGCCGAGAAATATTTTTAGTTTTGTTTATATTTTTTCATGTTTTCCCTAGATATTTTAAAAGACAATACCATTCTGCATTCACAGCAGTTTCCAAGGATACAAAGCTCTAAACTTGGCATGTGAAAGGGGCACCATTTGTCAGTGGAAGGTAAATTAGCCATTTTCTGTCAAAAATGATATAAAAAAGTTAAGGGGTTAGACCTCAGGGTGGAACCTCTCCGTTTAAAACTTTGTTGATTACCACCCCTCCCCCGCTGATTTTTCTAATCGCGCTCCACAGAAACGAGGCGAGTGACCCCTGAACCGTTTGCATGTGATCCCATCACGTATGTGTCCCGGCCTCACGAAAAACATCAACAACACTTCTTGACCAACAAAGAAAATGCTGTATCATCGCCCGTCCGCAATTGGGCGTGCGATAGTTTTTGGGGATTGTGTCATTTACATCACTTAATCATGCTCAGTTCTTGACTCACAAGTTTTTTTCGAATTTATTTGATGGTACAGAATTATTGTGTGAGGCAAAACAGCCGCGTTAATTCAAGTTGATAAATAATGATACCAAGAGTTTGCTCCCGTTTCTCCTGGAGTTTTTCTAAAGCCATCCTTCGAAGATCAAATGTATCTGGCTTGCATTTTCTACAACGTCGATATGTGCACGAGGAACCCAAAGTGAAGATTCCAGATTTCTCGCAGGAGTTTAAGGGAATGGATGCTTCTTTCCCTTGTCTCACGGAACAACCCACGCGGTACGTGACAATAACAGGCAAATTGTTCCATGCTTTGTCTGCTTCACCGGTTAATTGTTTGCCTTATGGAATTCTATCTACCATATAAAATTTAATTATCGCTTCAGCGAGGTATATTGTTGGTAGTTTCATAGTATTTTAATTCCTAGATATCAGTATCTAGCGCCTGATTGCACATTTTCCTAGTAGGGGTATTTTCAAGAAAGCCTTGTACATTTTGGGGGATGGGGAGGGGGGAGGTAAGGAGGCTCCCACAAAGGTAGGGTGAACCTATTATAAAGGTGGATTTCTACTGTGGTGTAATATTTATTTTTATGTGGGTAATAATAAAATAGAGGCAATGTATGAGTGTCGCATAAATGTAAAAGTTGAGTGCGGTTCAACTTTTATGTTTACATGTGACCTTTCATACATGCATTGCCTCTAATGTATTTATGCATGAAATTTTAGGGGCATACACACATACAAAGTAAGTGACAGTGGAAATCCATCCTTATGAAGCGAGGGAAAATATTAGAAATCATTTGGGGACAGGGACTACATAATAAGTAGATGAAGAAACCAACGTAGCTGCTGATCTGATAGACTGCTGGCAGTCACTCTGGAGTGCCTGGTTTCAAAATGGGTATGGATTTTATTTATTTACCAGCTTTTCTGGACACAGGCCTGCCCAGAGGGAATGTGCACGAACGGGACTCAGGTCCCATGCAAGGTGCTATCCCTACCCAATCCCACAACCCATAAAGGTTGGCCACACCACCGGGGTCTACGACCCCTACTTTTTTCCAAATAGTGATGTGGGTTCTTTTACCTTCCACAAGAACAAATCAGTGAAAGTGCTGTGAGACAGGACCTACGGTTTTTTGTCCTTATCTGAGACAACTAGAAAGTCTAACCATTTGCAGATGTCATTACAAAGGCAGCACTTTCTTCTCAGTTATTTAAAGACCCTGAGTGTTGGTCCGGCCGGGGTTTGAACCCGCGACCTCCTGCTCAGCAGACTGGCACTCTCCCAACTGAGCTAACCAGGTGGCGGTTTTTGGGTCGAGGGGCCGTTTCTCGAACATCCCAGTAATTAAATGGCCTGGAAAGCTGTTGGTTTTTACATTCAAGACCAAGGTTTCAATAGCTTTGCAAATAATATGATAAAACTCTAACTTAACAAAACAAAATGGGCTGGGTTGTTAGTGGGGACCTGGGCTTTTATTTCTTAGGTCTTGATTTGAATATTTGATCCTCGGCCTGAAAAATTACCCTGTCTTTCGAGATATGGGCCACTGTCTGAAAATGGGTTTGGAAAACTAAAGGGCGGCATGTTTTAGTCAGAAGTAGGGTCAGGATTTGGTGAACCAATAGTACATACCCACCAATAATATTATTCTTATGATTACCCCTTCCTGGGGTAGGAGTGTTGTTTTTACTGGTTGGTATTCTAAGGAGTGCATGAAAGGTCTCAAAGAAAAATAAATTGCAGAAAATGTGCCAGGAAGATGTCAACATTTTCACGACATGACAAATGGTCCCGAGATGTAAATATCTGTAAGAAAGAAGTTGCTCTTCATGTTAAGTTCTACTTGGTGTTTAAAGATATTAAACAGCATTTAACTTTTCCCTTGGTTTCAATAGGTTGAGTTCTGCTGGTGTTGATCCAGTATACTCCAAAATAAATTCAGGTTACAAGACATATCATCATGACCGCCCATTTTTCTTCAAGTACAATGATGGCATTATACCTCAGCTAGAAGTTGCATATGAAACCTGGGGTGAGTTGAATGAAGCAAAAGACAATGTGGTCCTTTTGTGCACTGGCCTGTCTGCTTCATCGCATGCTAAGAGTCATTCAGTAAGTACTCGCTTTTTCACCCATCAGGTTCTGTCTGTAGTATGCACAGATCTGGGAAAATAATTTTGCCAGACAATGGATTTGGCTGGTTTGTGGGACTTAACATTTGCGTCCATACTGAATAATGTTGTAGTTGTTGTTCTCCTATTAAACATTAAGTCAAAATAAAGTTACAGTATGTTGAAAGGAAAACTATTAACAAGCTCCCCCTTCGATTAATTACCCTTCTTCCTGAAGTGCCCCTCCATTTAGCCAAAAAAATTTGAATAAGTACCCAGGTACTTATTCGTGGAAATAGGTTACTCATGAATATTGAATATTTATTGTGTACCTTGCTGTCACATACACTGTAATGCAAAATTGTACAATGTAAGTTACTGGAATGTACATGTATTTTATGCAGGACAATACCACACCAGGCTGGTGGGAGAACTTTATTGGCCCTGGCTGTGCTTTGGATACCGATAAGTTCTTTATCATTAGCTGCAACAATTTAGGAGGATGTTATGGTACTAGGTTGGTAATTGTCAAATTTGTTGTTCTTGAATTCTACATTATTTTGTAGCTAACCTTAGGATGTCTGAAGATAATATAATATGTTTACATATATTTTATTCATTTATTTTTTTTTTACAGTGGACCTTCATCAATCAATCCTTTGACAAACAAGGTAGTTTACTCTGCCTCTGTTTTATTTTATTGTTTATTATTTTTGTTGAACATGTACCTGACGACTTGTCAATTTCTGCTGATAGTGCCCACCCATCAGTCAATCACCCCTGTAGTATTTTTCAGTGTTACAAGTAAACAACACTTTTGAACATACACATATTTCTGAATCAACGTACTAATAACTAACAAATGGTAAATGGCCCAGAGTGTACTATTGAGTTGTAGTTGCATGCAGGAGGTTGCTATTAATTAAAGCTTAAAAGAAGCGTAAGAGTTGCACAAGGCAATAGCCAAGTGCGACTCTAGCTTCTTGAGTGCTTACCAATCCTCCCAAGTGCAACTATAACTCAATAGTACATGCTGAGCTATTTTACATAATCAAAAGAGAACAACTTTTAATTTTGCTCACAAAAAGCAGGGGAATGATGTGAGTGCTGTAATCTGCCCGAGCTATGGCATGTGCAAATTATTCTTTGCAAATTCTTTTCTTTCGAAAAAGATCGTTTTGCTGAGTAATTAGTTCTCCGTCTCAGTTTTACATTATCTTTAGCGTTCTTTTTAAACTTTCTATCAGTAATGAAAGAAAATCTTTGTAAACCATGAGGTTAAAAAAATATAGTTGCATAGAAAATACTGTGTACGGCTTTGAGTGTGCGCTAGCTTTCACCACCACTCACTCATGGGCAAATAGTAAATGTCACTAAAAATGACCAATGAGAGTGCTCACTTTACGTTTGTTATGTTATAATTTTCTTTACAGCCTTATGCCACAACCTTTCCCCTTGTGAGTGTTGATGACATGGTTCATGCCTTCTTTCTGACCTTGGATTCATTGGGAATAGGAAAGGTTTGTGTAACAGTAAAACTGATTTTTTTTCTTGTATTTTTTAACCACTTTTTTCTTAAAACATGTTCCCAATTTTATTGATTACAGGTTCATGCTGTTGTAGGCGCATCTTTGGGAGGCATGTCATCTCTGAATGCAGCAGCTCTGTATCCTGATAGAGTAGGAAGGTAAGGGTGGTATTCACTCTGATATAACACCAGTATGGCTTACAAATTGCAGCTATATATAGCTGACAAGCATAATATCATAATTTATTTGCCGATAATTTATTGTTTTATACATTGATCGTGGGGATAGGAGCAGTAACAGTAAAACGGATCCTAGCTGCCAGGTAAGCAGGAAGGAACAGGGCTAAGGAGATTGTGGCTTATAAGCATTAGAGAAAAGAGAGCACTTACATTAGCTTGACGTTGTAAGAAAATCTTAGTAATGGTAGATATGGGGGAATTTTTTATGGTGTTAAAGCTTTTATGCCAGTGTTTGTTACTTACCTGGAGTTTGTACATCCACTTACAGTAAAGTACTGCCCAGCACCCCTAGGCTTTGAAGGTGCAGTAGTGTAATTTGATGGTGTGTGAGGCCACTGTCTTTGATGCTGTCCCACGGGGACAGCAGGGAGCTTTCACAGGGGACTTATGCTAGTGTCAAACTGGGATAAAGGAGCATACCTTATGCCCCTCAGTCCAGTCCGGAATCCCCACTTTGTTTGACCCAATGTCCAACACTCACTTCTAGATATGAAATAGTTACATGTATAATAATAGCAGATGTGTGAAGTGTATGTTCTTGCAATGGGCAGCTGATTATCTTTGTCCTCTTGTGACTGTCATTGATAACAGGTAGGGGTCCACAGGGACTCACAACCTCCTAGCTAGCAACACTCTTGCCTCACCTCACCAGCTTTTTATACTCTCAGGCCATGTTTGGGACTGGTGCTTCTAGAATCCTGTTTTCAGAGTGGTTGCTACTTTTTATGAAGTTTTTAACAAGTCTTTAATTTTTGTAGAGTGGTAACGATATCTGCTTGTGCCCAGTCACATCCAGCATCAATAGCTCTCCGTTATGTGCAGCGTAGAATACTGATGAGTGACCCCAACTGGAACAAAGGCTTTTATTATGATGGACCCTATCCAAGACTTGGAATGAAACATGCACGGTCAGTTAGGCTCAACCTAACATGTAATGATTTGATTCCTAGCTCAGTGGGTCGTTCATTTCTCACTGACTTTATATTCCATCTAGTTTTTCCTTTCTTATTGAAATTGTTTTAACCCGGCCGTTATTTTAGTAAACAGCTATAGTCCTAATTTTTGTAAGAAAACAAAATTCTGAAGAATTGTTTTAGTTGTAGTCAAGAGAGGTCCTATCATCTCTTTAGCCTGCATAATAGGCGTTATTTTTTCTCCTTTTTCAATGAGCTAAGGCAAGTGCGAAGTGAGTGAGGAGTGCCAGACACGTGAGATGGTGGAAGGCGCGTGTCTAGAGCTCCTTGCTCGCTTCGCGCTTGCCTTCGCTCCCCTGAAAAAGGAGAAAATTAACGCCTGTTATGCAGGCTACTTTGTTGTAAAATGATGTCCTCTTGAAAGGTCTTGTTGCATAACAAGGGTTCCCGTTTGACTGCATGTTCATGCAAACATTTGGAAAGAGAGACCGTATTCATTGCTTTCGCCCAGATTGTTGTATCTAACTCTCACGGAAACTCTAGCTGCGTTAGTTAAGGCTCAGTTAACAAAGCTGATTGATGGATTGTTTTTCAATTAGAGAAGTGGCTACGATTTCATACCGCAGTGGACCTGAGTGGGAGCTGAGATTTGGGCGGAAACGTATTGATGATCCCCCTACAATATCACCAGATCTCTGCCCTGAGTTTGAGATTGAAAGTTATCTCGACTATCAGGTGCGACTTTTATTACACGCTAAAACGAAAAAAAAAATTAACCTTATGCATGGTATAAGAGAAAAACGACCCAACTCGTAACCTCTAAGCTGCGATTGGGTATGTATTATTTTTGACACCATTAATTTTTTAGGTTTTGTAGCAAGAGTTCACTTGAAAAACAACTCCAAAAAAAGGGGCACTTTTGTTCATATTTTACTCCTTAATGAGCATTTCCTTGAATTACTCTTCTTAGTGCCACGCAGCTCACTGTTTTTTTTAGTGAAGAGCTCACCTGGCTAATCAGTTGTAAACATTTGCATTTGCCCTCGCCTCGCATTGTGGTAATACTGACGCGCAACGCTTCAAGCAAACGTAGGCAATAAGGAAACCAGAGACGAGACGAAAAAATAATCGTAGGTATAAGGTGATGAAGCAACTGAGTATCTAACGACAAGCCGACCAAACTGGCAGGGGTCAAAGTGACCTGAGGTCGAAGTAACGAGCCGAAAGAACAGTTCTTAAGGGGAGGCTAGTGAGGTGATGCTTTTTCAAACTTTGCGTCACCGTTTGTGAGCGAAAGTCGCGGAATTGGCTTATAGTTCCATTCCAGGTTTCACCGAGTGTTATTATGATTTTGATCATATCACTGCACTTGTCATATAGCATATTGATAATACTGTCAAATCCTGTGAAATATAAGTAGTTTAGAGAGGGCTTCGTTGTCGATGTCGTGTCTTTAGAGTGACGGTTGAGAAAATCGAAGTCAGTTGATTTATTAACCGAGATTTACCGTTACAAATGTGTTTTTTTTTTCATGTTGTTTTTTTCTGCTTTACCAGGGTGATAGCTTTTGCCTCAAGTATGATCCCAACTCGCTGCTGTACATATCAAAGGTAACCATTGGGCCACCGTGCCTCTCATCCCCTTTTTGTAATGAGACACATCCCTTCTGAGACACGTCTTAATGTGACTGCAGTTGAAAGCATTATTTGTTTCCTAATTCACTTGACAGGCGATGGACCTGTTTGACTTAGGAGAAGGCTTCAGTTCTCTCTCGGAAGGAGTGGCAAGAATCCAGTGCCCGACTCTGGTAGGTACTGGGCAGCGAGTCATGGAAGCATTTTCTTGTGTTTTTTTTTCTCTTACTGAGAAAAGTTTTGTTTAAAAAAGTGGAGGTTATTTCACCTTTTGGTGCTGAAGGATGCCGGCCTAGCCTTGTTGTATTTAACCATTAGGCCACCTCCCCTCCCATCCTCTCTTTGTAATGAGACACATCTTACTATTTACCTGCTTCTTCTCTTTGGGGGTGGGGGTGGGGGTGGGGGTGGGCGTTGAGGAGGAGAGAACGGGGTACCTGGACATAGACCGGTTTATCTTCAAGTCATAACCGTTTTTTTCTCTAATTCGTTCATAGGTGTTGGGAGTACAGTCGGATGTTCTATTTCCAGTTACACAGCAGAGGGAACTGGAGACTCTTCTTAAGGAAGCTCGTAAGGAAGGAATAAACATTAATTGTAACTTGAAGCAGGATTTACTATATTATGTTATACTCAACTAAAGGAAGAAGATCTTTCATTCATTGCTCACAATAATTATTCGTTACTCTGGTAAAGTAGAAATGTCTGCAAGGAAGAGCTGATACCATAAATGTTGAGAAAGTTTTTTGTCAGCAGAGAACTCAGGGTACGACTAAACTACCATCTTAGGAACTTAAGTCCTAGGCTTCGTATTTGGGACACCATTCTGAACACAATTATATCTTGACTACTGTTTGGTATTTGAGCTATTGTATAAATCTTAGTTAAGGTGGTTTAAGTGTCCGAGTGTGCTATTGTCTAGAGCACTGCTCTCCTTCTTTCAGATAACCATGACGTGACATATTATGAACTTCCTTCTATTTATGGTCATGATACATTTCTACTTGATGTCGTTGCCGTTGGAGCGGCAATTAAGGTAAGTCACGTGGTTGAATTTTAAGACACAGTTTAAGACATACACCGGCTCATCAATGGACGAGAGCTCTTCTGTGCTTTTTAAGGGAGTTCTGTTTGGAATCAGTAATGGGTAAAAGTGTATATCAGGCCTTAATGGACCTTTATAAGGCCATATAGCAAGATTCGTTTGGTTTTTTTTTTTCTCATTCCGACCAAACCACGTCATGTAACGATAAGTCTTGTCAAAATGGTTGCGTTTAGGCAGTTTTCGGTAGGATGTAGCTTTTTCTGAAATTAAGCTCAGTTAGCTGGCCAGTTACTACTGCCGGAATTTGGTTATTTAAAGGCCACAGATTTACATCTTTTCATTCCTTTTGTTTACTGTTATTAGGGTCACATCGAAACAGACCTGAAGATTCACGGGGAACGCAAGCTTCCCATCGTGAACAAGAAGAAGGATTGAAACCTTAAACGGCATTGGTGACCTCAAGTCGAGACCTCTAATGCTGCTTAACTAGCGCACTTTCAAATAGGGTCACATCGAAACAGACCTGAAGATTCACGGGGAACGCAAGCTTCCAATCGTGAACAAGAAGAAGGATTGAAACCTTAAACGGCATTGGTGACCTCAAGTCGAGACCTCTAATGCTGCTTAACTAGCGCACTTTCAATATGGTTTTTCTTTAAGTATACTGAATGCCAAAGAACGTCAGTCAGTCAGTCACTCACTGCTCAATAATGTACCAAGTTCTGCCTTAGACAACAAAACCTAACATGTCCTACTTGATTATTTAAAAGCGATAACAGAATTTTGACCGCCATGCCACTAGCAACAATAGTAACGCCCCTTTATTCAAAATCATTTACGGTAAAAACGACGCAAAGAGCATTGTGCCACCAGAGGCAGGTGACGCAATAGGCTCATTCACAGAATTTTAGACTGAGGTGAAACGGACAAACATACAAACAAACAAAACAAAAAACTAAGCGAAAAAGTAAAGAAATTACATCACTTTCGTATGAATTCAAAGATAATTATACGTAGATAGTAACTCCAGTGAACTAATGCGTTTTTTAAAACGGCTTCTTATGTGAGAACAAAAAAAAGTACGTTAATATTATGATAGATGAAATTAAAAATAGCGTTGAGGCTATAACAGTGTTGTAAGTATTAGGCAAAGGGGTAGTCTGCGAATACAGCCGTGTCTCCTCGTTCCTCGTCGCTAGGGACGCTTCGCAGAAGAGGCAGAAATTCCATACTGATGACGTAAAATCTGTACGGAATCTGTTCATGCGAAACGTCCCGAACGGCGAGGAGCCAGGAGAAGATAGTTGTGTTCGTAGGCTAGTACAGGGGAGGTAGTTTTTAAAACAACCTACCTTGGTCGGGTGAAAGCGTATTTTTGTAATTTTACTGATGACGAAACAAATGAAAATGAAGAGAAATAGCTATCACCGACTTTCAACGTTTTTGTCTCTCGGCGGCTTTTGTCACCGGATAATCAGTAAAGATGTTAGGTATTACGTTATCAGTGGAACTTCTCCCTTGGGACACCTCTATTCAAGGGACACCTCCAGGGGACACAAAATTTTGTCGCTAAAAAATATTCACATAATCTTTGTATTTGTTACCTCTATTGAAGGGACACCTCTATTCAGGGGAAAGGGACACTATTTTTAGGGCCCGAAACCCGGGTTTAACCTCCATTCAGGGCACACCTTAGCTCTCAAAAAGTGGTCGACCACAAATAGGGTTGATAAGTTTAAGTGTACACTAGTCACAATGATGACATATGTCACATGAACTATCTCACTGTAATCGGTGTACTGCACTTGAAGGAATTCAACACAATATCGCAGAGCCAAGTTAATCATGATGTTTTATATATTATGTGGCTCGTTGAAATAATGACTACAGCAGATTCCGAGGGAGAATAAAAAAGAAATTATATTTTTTTGGTTAATGATTAGCAAACCCCAGCCCAAAGTCTATTCAGGGGACATTTGCCCTTGTCCTGAGGGTGTCCCCTGAATAGAGGTTCCATTGTATATAATTACTGAAAACGGGAAACAGGGGAGATGGTCGTACGATTGCCAATGTATCCGCGAACAATAAAAGAGTAAAGTTCTCCCTGGTGTTTTTTCCTGAACGTGAGCACTCCTCTTCGTAACGAAACGGCCAAAGAAGTAAAGCTAGGGTGATTAAACAGCGGGAAAAACCCTGATATGGAGAAGGCATTGTTCGACTGGCCAATCGTCTTGCAGTATGACGTCAAAGCGAAGTATCCATTGATTTCTAGAAAGTTCTCGGGCATGAAGTTTTTTCACCCGAGCGTTCGCTAAACCAACCAAAAGCCACGCGCGTTCGTATTCGTTTGATAAACCAATCAAATCGCTCTATTTCCGTTCGTTTGTTGTTTCTGTTTTGTTCGCGCGTTTTCTTTTCAAGGTCATGCGAAAATCGCTCTAAGGCTATGTTCACACTATATCGAATAGCTTTTAGTGTCGACACGACAAGTCGTCTGGCATAGTGTAAACAGAAACGGCCCGGGACTGGAACAGGTCCTTTACTTCCGTCCTAAAAGGGTTCCAGTCCTCGCTCCTACTTATTCACGTCCGCTACGGTCCCAATACTGAGTGTCACCAATAAGTCACCAATAGGGTTCTTCAATCCCGTAATCCCGTCCCAAAACTTCGTGCAATCCCGTAATCCCGCGGGTTATTTTTCGGAACCCACCTCCCGCCATTCTTTCAATCCCGAATCTCGCCCTGATTTCGCTTCAAAATCCCGAATCTCGAGCTTCAAATAAGGGAATTCCCGTATCCCGAAAAACTTATTGAGGACCCTCAATACTTGTTCAAGCGGCACCAAAGGGTGGCACAGAACCTATCCGATAGGTGACGCTCCACTATCGGCGCGGCACAGCTTCGTTCCGCAACAGAAGTCGCGCCGAAATCACCGCTTTTACTGTGAACGGAAGCCTCATCCGGTATGGTTTGCGTGCCGGCGCAAGAGCTATCCGGTACAGAGTGCCTGAGACTCCACGGTGGTATTGCGGTTTTTGGTGTTTATTGATCAGTGCTGTTTTGCGGTATTTAGACCGCACCCTTCCTTGCTGTATCCACCCTAACTGTAGTGTTTTTTGGTCTTTTCCCCACACCTCTGTATCAAGCTTGGAATTTCGAGTTGTGGAGGAAATTTTTTTTGTCGGTGAAAGGGTGATCTTTGATCCCTGATCCTGTTTCCTTCATCCTCGATCCTCAATCCTCCATCTTTCATCCTGGTTTTCCAGAAAACCGGAGAGCTAGCCCAAAGAACAAGTGTAATTTTTTTCGCGTTTTTCAGGTGAGCCACCTTCGAGCTTGCCTTCGCTATCCTGAATGACCTCAGAATGGGAGAGAGAGAACGTCCTCATTTTGACCTTGGGATTAATCTGCGATTAGACGTTTTATTCCTTTTGAGAGGAGATGGGTAAAAAGACATATGGAGATATAGGGAAGGCATGATCACAGTCGAATCACAGGGAACGTTTGGGGTACAGCCATTGCACTTACGTGACAAAATAGTTCTAATTGATATGCGAGGAAGGACAATGGGTTCATTTAAGGCTTTTTCTTTATAGCATGACACTTTAGAACAATCAATGATGGTGACCTTGCGAGCAGCTCTGTTGTTCGCTTTTCTTTCAAGATGCTTTGCCGCAAAGTTTGTCATGTTTCCCATGTTTGGACGAAGCCATTACATGATTCTCGACAAACTGGGGCAAGAACTGTCAGAGAGGGGCCATGAGGTATGCAAATAAGAATACAAAATGCTTTGTTGTAGTTTTTAGTGACAGTTCAATTATTATTTTGCCAAGCCTTCGCTGGGGTCGACTAAGCTATAAGCTTAAGATATCTAACGCACTAAATGGTACGATTCCAATCGCAATGAAGAGCCATCGTGAGCTGAGTAGCAAAGATGAAGAAACGGCTTGGAATGCTCGTCTACATGGCGTGATTACATTACGTAATAGTGAAAAAATAAGGATTTGTATGGGAAAAAATATGCGATTCTCATGGTAAAATTAATCTTTTTCAATTATCCTTCTTTTTCAATAATGATATACCTGCCAACTCTCACGCATTATGGGCGAGTCTCACGCCTGTTGACTAAAGACTAGGATCTCACGCATAAAGGACAATCAGCTCACGCCTGACTTACAATCCGGACGAAAAAACAAAATTCATTTCAATTTCACCGAAATGTTTCAAAAAAGTGGTTGGTGTTGACCTCGTGTCTGAAATGTATCACAAAACGTAAAAATTGTTGTGGAAGTGCTCACAGGCTGTCGGAACATCTTCGTACATTTTCGCCAAAGTTCGGAAGTCTTCGGAAAATAAAGGAAATATTTAGAAGTTGGCGGGATGTTTTCAGAAATTTGGGTCATGACAAGACGAAAATCTCACGCATTTGACTCAGTAAAAGTTGGCAGGTATATAATCAGGTTTCAGTTACACACACAGAATGTTGATCATTAAATCAGGAATATCATTAAATCGATGGGGGTTCCACTGTGTACATATATATTTCTTTACGTACAACCCTAACTAAAGGGATATCTATATGGCTTTTCTACCTCAACATCCTTAATGAGACCAAAATTTGAAATTCCACCTCTACTCGAGACGACGAGAGTCTCTGACATAATCATATGGGAGTGCCCCCGTCCCCCTAACGGGTGGTGGGGGCGGGGGGGGGGGGGGGGGG